ACAAGATTACACGTCTATATTAACTGATTGTAACTGACACACTGAAAACAGATTTGTTCCATTCTGTAAGAAAATACAATAATATTCTGTACAATCAGGGCAGTTCCTTTGTGGATATACATGCCTCAGACATTTTCCAGGAAAAAGAATAATCTGCTGGTTTAAAAAATTCATTCACTTTACTAAGATACATTCAGAATAAATTGTTGAATTCCAATAGGCCTCATCATGTACTCTCTGTGTGCAAAATTTTACAATGGTTGAATTCAGCCAGAAAAACTGGGTCTTGGAAAACAAGAAGAATTCAGCTCAATAAATGGCTGATAAATGCTTACCATTGAGATTGTGAAGCCAATCGTAAATCTGGTTTAATCGAATAAAGAGAAATAGCACATGTGGAAAATAAATCCTCCTCTCCATTCCCTTCTTTTCCCCTACAATGATCTCAGCCAGTGGTCAGATCTAGAACCTTCTCCTTAGGTTTCCATCACACACATGTGGATTCATCTTTGTCTTCCTTGCACTGCCCCTGGGGACTAGCTTTGATAGAGTGAGTCTCTTCTCTCCCCATCCAAGCTATAAGAGCCCTAAGTGAGGGATCACATATCAGCTCTGGTCCTATACCCTAGCATATCACGTGAGCACAGAATTAAGTAACCCAGCCCATTAAAAAATAACAGCCTAAAGCGGGGCACTTGTGGCTCATGCCTATAATCCTAGCTACTTAGGAAGCTGAGATCTGAGAATCATTGTTTGAAGCCAGCCCAGGCAGGAAAGTCTGTGAGACTCTTATTCCCAATAAACTACTCAGAAAAAGTCAAAAGTGGTGCTGTGGTTCATGCCTATTATCCTAACTATTCAGGAAGCTGAGATCTGAGAATCATTATTTGAAGCCAGCACAGGCAGGAAAGTCTATGAGACTCTTATTCCCAATAGACTACTCAGAAAAAGTCAAAAGTGGTGCTGTGACTCAAGTGGTACAGTGCTAGCCTTGAGCACAAAGAGACTCAGAGACAGCTACCAGACTCTGAGTTCAAGGCCCAGAAAAAACAATAACAACAAAAAACCCTGCCTAAGCTAGGCACCAGTGACTCACATCCATAATCCTAGAATACAGAAAAAAATAAAGTAACTGCCTACTTCTCCAGTCTACCTGAAGCTTTGTTCCTTTGATCACAGAAAATGATTACAAGAAAGAGCACTGCAATTCAGTCTTCCTGATTACTTGAGGAGCTGCAGTTTTACAGTAAAATGGTTTTATCACAAAAAATGATTAGTATGAAAGGTGATGGATTTGTTCATTTGAATGTTTTAATTATTCCATATCTTAAATATATGCATAATTAGTAGTAGTAGTAGTAGTAGTAGTAGTCAATTAAATGTTTTTGTGTGCTGGTCCTGGAACTTGAACACAGGACCTGGGTGCTATCCCTGAGCTTCCAGTGTGTTTGGGGTGGTTAATTGGGGATAAGAGTCTCACAGACCTTCCTGATGGGGCTGGCTTTGAACCAGTATCTTCATAGTTCAGTCTCCTGGGTATCTAGGATTACAGACATGAGTCACTGGCATCTAGTACAATTAATTTTCTAATTTTTAAGCATTAGGCGGAGCATTTGGCACATATCTATAATCTAAGCTACCCAGGAGACAAAAAAATAAGAGGATCACAATTCGAAGGCAATCCATGGGAAATATTAGTGAGATCTCATCCCCACTAATGAGACAAATCTATTGCACCCTTGTACTACCAGCTATGTGGGAAAAATAGGTAGGTAGATTGCAATAAGAGCCCTGTCCTGGACCAAAAGTACAAGATCATATCCAAAATATAAAATGATAAAAAGACTGCTCTCATAGCTAAAGTTTTAGAATGTTTGCCAAGCAATTGCAAGACAAGACCCTGGGTTTAGACTCAAGTAATACCAAAAAGAAGGAAGAGGAGGAGGAAGAGGAAGAGGAGGAGATTATTACATGTATTAATGACTAAGATATTGATCCAGGCTCATTCCTGTAATTATAGCTACTCAGGAGGCTGAGATCTGAGGATCATAGTTAAAACCCAGCCCAAAGAGAGAAAAGTCTGGGAAACTCTTATCTCTAATTAACCAGTAAAAAGCTGAAATTAGAGCTGTGATGCAAGTCACTGAATGTCCATCTTGAGTCAAGAAGTTAAAGAACATTGCCGGGGCCATGAGTTTAAGCCAGTATCAGTACAGAAAACAAAACAGGATATTGAAAACACATACACACACACACACACACACACACACACACACACACACACACTTCCTAAGTGACAGTATCTACTCATCTACTAGCATATGAAAAGAGACTATGTATTATCTTAAATGAAATCTATATTTCAAGTACAGAGAAATTTGCTACTATCAGAGATGGGTAGAAACAACTAACATAATTTCTCCACTCTGCATATTCATAATCAGATCTCCTATTTCCCAGGTAGGATCATGAAACATGGAAATAACACCAAGTAATATTTCTGGATCTCATGTATGCCTGGCAATGAACTAGAAGATTTATCGTGCTATTTCAATTAATTTTTATTGCATCCCTATAAAGTGGCTGCTACCAGGGTTTCCATTTGGGAGATATTAGGACAAGCTATGTACTTTGCACTTACTTAAACCCTAAGCAGAATGTCAACAAATCAGTAGCTTTCTGAACACCCAGACCCTACATATAAAAATAGGTAGTTAAGGCAGGCACTGGTGGCTCATACCCAGCTGCTCAGGAGGCTGAAATCTGGGGACTGGGATTCAAAAACAGACCAGGAAAGAAAATCTGTGCAATCCTTATCTCCAAAAATGTCAGCGATGGAGCTGTAGCTCAAGTGGTAGAGTGCCAGCCTTGAGTGAAAAAGTCAAGGGACAGAGTCTTGACTGTAGCACCAGCACAAAATAATTAATACTAATAATTAATATTACTACGAATACTGCTGCTGCTAATAATAAAAGTGGTTTACCCAGCTCCCAAGGAGAATTATTTGGTTTGTCTTGACAGTCCCCAGAATGCAATCCATGATTTACAAACTTCCTCTCCACAGTCATACATACTATTTCCTTCTGAGAGCTAGCTACATTTTCACTGTTTCAGTACAAATAGCACCACTGGGTAGTTATAAGTGCTCATCACCACATGGGAAATAATTCTGACAAATTGTTTTGATATATTTTATGAACGATAACACAGTCATAAACATAAAACTTTCATGGGCCGTTAAATATACATAAAAGAGCAGCTTGAGATTTGATATGAAGTTTTACAATAAATACATTAGGCAAAAAATAGACATGCGCATGTGTGCTTGTGTGTGTAATTATTTTTATATCATGGTACTATATATATATTGTGCATGCATTTCTAGGACATTGAATTCTGTTCGTGTGAATCCTCAATTGAACAGGCATTTGGGGCATTTATAAAAGTCAGATGAAAGTAACTTGCCTGGCTTAACACTTGTCAAAACTCTTTGTCATATTGAATAAATCTATGTTCCAAAGGGCATTGGTCCACAAGCTATTGATTTTCAGATTATTCATAACCTGTGGAGTTTTCAAAGCTTTGTTTCAATAAATCAATATAAGTCTCAAAAGAACGAGTAAGGTTTCATGAAGCAGCTACATGGGGTAATAAACTGTAGAGACCCAGGCTGACATATTACAACAGTTGGAAGCAGAAACTGTCTCTGCATTGCTGGATGCAGAGCTGTGATAATTATTAAGGAATCATTTCCTTGAAAAGAGAAACCTTCCTCTAAGTTCTGTAATCTCTCATCATCTCCGTGGCTGAGAACAAGGGTGAATGGTACTGCAAAAACATATCACTTTGGGGACATATTTGGACACAGCAAAGAAAGAAAAATATTCAAAAAATACCCACTGATGTTTCCTATGGATTCAAACACAGGAAAGCACATGCGCACACTCACAGGATTGAGGTAGCTTTAAGAATCAAGAGGAGAGAAAATAAAGGATGAATTAATTACATTCTGGAACAATAGAAGAATAAAAAGAACATATTTCTATTCCTGGTGAAAGCATTTGAAAAGCCCCTTACTGCCAAAAAGAAAACAACAACTACAAAAGAAAACTCTAAGTCATATAGCTGGTCTAGTAAATTCTTTGGCACTAAGATCCTGTAGATAGTTCTGTTTCTGTAGAAGAGACAGTAGAGGAACCAACTCCTATACTGTTCTTGGTTGAGTTATCGTGACACTCTCTCAGTGCCTGAAGATGACCCTTACCATAGAAGATCTCCTTTAGAGCCCCTCCACCAGCCAGCTATACATAAAGACACTCCTCCCAGCTGTCATCCAGGTGTGCCCAGATCACTGGCTTCCCATTGACTCCTGTCAAACAAGATGGAGCCCCGCTACGGATGAATGATACACAGTCAAACCAAGTTCCCAGCTGCTTCAGGCAACACCCAGGATCTCCTTTATATGGCTATTTCTAATAAGTGTGAAATTTGTGATGCTGAGACTGCAAGAGAGCCTAAGCCAGGACAGCAGGCAGCTAGAAGGGCTGTTACATAAGCTCACCACCATCTGGGATCCATTGACCTTCCTACTATTGCAACTGAAAGAGGTGATAAAAATACAAGCACTGTCCACATCTGGCAATCGTGTGTAGCCTTAGGGTGTCACCTTATGATGTAATCAAAGTGGTACAGACTTTCCCTTAGCCTAAACACTATAATTCACTACAAATCAGCCAAACCCACCCTGACACATGTACATGCACTCATGAGCAAGTGCACATACATGCAGAATACAAGGCTTAAACCATGTATCTTTCAGAACAAAGACATTTTCTCTGAGAGTATTGTCAATTAAAAGGAGAAAGATTTCACTAAATCCTTAGAGATATGAGACTCCTCTAGAGAAGATTCACACACACACACACACACACACACACACACACACACACATTCCTTCTTGACATCTGTGTATATTGACAGAGGTTTATACTGATACTTGCTTTGAGATGAAGCTGATTGGTCCAGTGCCCGATGACTTTGTATTCTGTACTTTTATTGGTTATCTGATACTGGAAGATATCATAACGTCCAGGAGCATCTCCGTTTTCATTAAAAGTGACAGGTGTACCAGCACTGCCTATAAAGATTTAGAAAAGAGTGTTAATAAAGTTTTAGTAAGATATAGCATTGTGTTTGGTTTCCTGTAAGGCTGAATGGTAGATTAAAATATACTGCATGAAGTAAGTGATACAAAGATCCTCTTCCCTGCAAGGTCATTCTTGATAGCATAATATTTTTCACATGAAAAGTAACCCCAGATGTCCACATAGGGATAAGATGAGCTTTATTATTCACATTAGAAACCAAATGACAAGCATCCATGTTCGGCAATGTGCATAGCAGATAACAAATAGAAGTTGATAGGTGAAATATTCGGGACTGGCGGTACGGGATGGCTGTTAATAGAGAAAAATGTAAATGTCTTGGTGCGTGACAGCTATTGCACACTATGAACTACAAACAGTAACTTGAAATTGGCAGTAGAATATGACAACCAGAATCCTGACTTGGACTTTATCTCAACTCCACTCTAAAGAAATTGTCCATGCTAGTACTTCTGCTTTGCTGCATCTACCTACCCAGCTGACAGCAGCCCCTTTCCTTGGGGCCCATCTTCTCTCAGCTAGCCATTTTCCTACTTTCTCCTTAAAGAATATTAGAGTCAGATTTGGAAACAACCCAGATGCCCCACTACTGATGAGTGGATCCAAAAATTGTGGTACCTATATACAATGGAATATCATGGAGCCATTAGAAAGGACAAAATAATGGCATGTGCAGGGAAATGGATGGAACTAGAGTAAATTTTTGAGCAAGGTAAGCCAAGAACGGAGAGACAAATGGCACATGGTCTCCCTGATATACGCATGCTAAAGCCAAAATGCAAGAAGATATGACAAAATAAACAGGACTCGAGAAACGAAGGACAGCCATTCATTTTGTCCTATCATTACTAAATGACTCTATGTTCTTAACCAAATATATGGTAGATATATGCACACAATGGAGGGAAACCAGGGGGAGGACACAGAATAAGTGGGAAACGTAACTACACACAACAAAGGGGCCCATCAGCTGCACTAAAAGAACTAAGCAACCCAAGGACAGCAATGGGAAGGGAGGAGTGAGAGGGAAAGAGGGAACAGCCTACACTAAGCAAAAGGAAAGAAATTTTAACATCACCTGATGTGGAAGAAATAATTTGCATTGTCAAAACTCGTAGAATTCACAAACTTTATAGACCATGATAATAATGATGTGAAGCTTACAATGTATTTGTGACTTTAACTAAGTATCACTATTCCGCAATACCGTGAAATATGTGAAATTTATGGAATCACCTAATCTCAATTTTTTAAAAAAAAGTGAGAGAAGGAATGGGTTAGGAGCGATGGGTGACAATGTTGTCAGACATTTTGTACTATTATACTGTTTTGTAGAATGGGAACTTTTTTGTACAGTTACTTAAAGATAATAAATATAGATATAAACCATAAAAAAGAATATTAGAGTCAATTACCAATCCATAATACACAGTTTTTGCTCTGTGCTATCTCCTTTCCATATTATGTTCTCCAAAATTATCTGTAATTGGCAGTTAAATATATCAACTTTTTATCATTCCATTTTCAACAACTGTCTTGTTTTATGTGTATAGTTAACCAAAATCAATCACTACAATTCTAAAGTATCTTTGCTTATCAAGCAAAATGAATGACTATCAAAATAGGTGATAACTTACAAAACACACATAATCAGAATCACAGAGCAAAAGTTTGAGGAGTTTGTATTTTTTAATGCAGGCATTTAACGTTGTCTTCCATTAATTTGTTTTCCTCAAATCTGCACATCGTGTGAAATCTAGAAGGAGGCCACAGTTATGTGATGTTGTTAAGACCTGCTGAGCCCTTAAGACACAGTATAGACAGGGCTACTGCAAGGCATGAGGGTCAGGAGCTAGATGACCCTTGAAGGCCACTCATCACCTATTTTTCCAACTAGTGTGTCTTTGCTTTGTTATTCCCAATAGAATTTTAACAATAAAGTACTAAAAAAAATAACATCTGTAACTTATTGCTACTTATAATTTTCATTAATTTCTATGGGAAAAGGTTTAATAAACCAAACACAGAATCATAAATTAGAGAAGAAAATAGGAACTTTTTTTCCCTACCTTCACTATTCTACGACTCCTTAGCTATTCAAGTGGAAACCTGTTTGTTATCCTCAACAAAATCCATTCGCAAATTCTACTGATCTTAGGTAGGTTTAACAGTTTTCTCAACTATGATGTTACAAGAATTTAAATGAGTCAATCCTCACCAAGTTCCTGGAAGGATGAATGAGGGAATAATGAATTACTTTTCATCCTGTATTCATTTTTACTAAACACCAACATGTCTAAATAAAAAGAAGATTGTACCCTTGTATGGTGGTGCATGTCTGCAATCGAAGATACTCGAGGGGCAGAGATGGAAGGATTCATCACAAGCTTGAGTCCAGAGCCAGTAAAGTTTGTGAGATTCTCTCTCAAAAACAACACAAAAGCATAAAAGCTTGGGGTGTGACTCAAATCATAAAAGATTAAAAGCTGGAGGCCTTGGGTTCAATCTTCATCACACACACCAACAAAATGTCTTGCTAACTTTCCCAAAGCTGACCTCAAACTTGTGAACTCTCTGTCTCTACCTGGAGAGTCACTGAAATAACAGGCTTTTGCTTGAAAGTTGTTTAAATGACGCCTAAACCAAGGTTTATTAGCATTCAAGTAAGAAAGGGATTTCTGCCTGCAAAAAAATTGTTATGAATTTCTAAGTAGCGTGATCAATTCCTGACATTTATATTATCGCTTTGAAACTTTTTGAGGTCATAGGCTTCCTAAATAAAGCAATTTTTTATTTTTTTTTGTGAGTCAATCCCCAATATTGTCACCTCCTTGAACAAATGACTTCTTATCTCCTACAACAGCTGTTTTCTTTTTTTTTTTTTACTATGATTCTCTAGATAGAAAAATGTCACTTCTGTAATGGCCTCCCATCAATGCACCCTTGTGGCTATATATACGTGCTGGCTCTTTCTACATCTCTATTCTCCTATTTCTCCATGGATATCTATGGATAAAAAACTGCATTAACACAAAAACAAGAACTGTCAAATCTGATAGCACAAATATGATTTAATATAAAACAACATGAAATTTTTGCATCACATTAAAGGACAATCTGTGAAAGAAGTAATGAATCTGAACTCATGGTCAGGGTCAAAGCCCAATCAATATCTATCATGTTTTAGAAGTTATTGCCCTTAGGGGGCTGGGAAGGTGGCTCAGTGGTAGAACACTTGCCTTGCATGCCTGAGGCCCTAGGTTCGATTCCTCAGCACCACATAAGCAAAAAGAAAAAAAAAAGCCAGAAATGGCGCTGTGGCTCAAGTGGTAGAGTGCTAGCCTTGAGCTGAAGAGCTGAGGGACAGCGCCCAGGCTCAGAGTTCAGGCCCCATGACTGGACCCCCCCCAAAAAATAAATAAAATAAAATAAAAAATGCTTGTTTTGGGGGAGGGGCGGGGGAGGATGGGAAGGGATGGGAAGGGGAAACAAAGGAGGAGGCTACAATGCTTGATAAGAAATGTACTCATTATCTTGCCCATGTAATTGTAACCCCTCTGTACAGTATTTTCACAATAAAAAAATTAAAATAAAAAAAAGAAGTTATTGCCCTTAGGTAAATTCTTTTTTTTTTTACTTTTTTTATTAACAAGTTTTTTTATTGTGAAAATACCGTACAGAGGGTTTACAATTACATGAGCAAAGCAATGAGTACGTTTCTTATCAAGTATTGTTGCCTCCTCCTTTGTTTCGCCTTACCATCCCTGCCCTCCCATCCACCCTCCTCCGACCCCCCGCCAAAGTTGTAATGAACCCCAAGATAAGGACTCAAATGGGTTTTCTTTCTTGTTACTGTTTCTAACATATTTATAAGATGATATCTTTGTTGCTTTGTATTTCCCTCCCCCATGGTATAACCCCTGTTTTCACTGTATTTGATGTTGGTATAATTTGTGGAGGGGAAGGAAAAATAACAAATGGTTTAAATAGGGATACAGGTGAACCCATTGCAATAATGAGATGTATAAGATGAGATGTTATGTCAAAAAACTAACTTTACAAGGTGAATTCTTGATGGTGTATTGTTTTTCTCCCCTTTAAAATAATCAAACAGCAACTCTCATCTCAGAGGACTCCATGAGAATTATTAAGCAAATCAATATGTGTAAGTAAATGACAAGCTCTATGCAAGTATAACTTTTTACTTTTGTTGTTTTATGACAATGTTGTGTTTAAGGCACCCTTTCTATAGGCGAATATATGACCTCAGTGAGCAAGTATGGTTTTTTATAAAGTCTCTCTTTTACTAATCTTTGTGCCCTTTCAGCAAAATGTCCCATCTTCCTAAAGTCCCTTTCTCTGGATCTGTCATCGGGTGCTTTACCATCCTGTCTTAGAACAGCAAATTTCCTCCTTCTTCTCATAACCTTTCCTCTCTAGTTAATTCGAGCTAGGTATGGCCCAAGGGACATGCACTTGTACAATCTTCCTCTTCCAAACCTGGAGCAGAGTACCCAAGTACCTCTTCCTTTCCTCACCCACTCCGTCAAAGCGTGCCGTTCACTTTACTCCACACACGTTCACCATCCATTGCATTCATCAGCACAACATTTATTCACCAGGCATTTATAAAGAATTTACTATGTGCTAATTTATCCTGCATTCCTCACGGAACTGTAGGCTGGGTGAAGATAGAAGGTGTGTGTTCTCTTTGTAAGCATGCATCAAAGATTGCTCAACACTGAGTGAACCATCGGTAACTTATAAGCAGGCAGGAAAGAGGCATCTTCTTAATTCTCTCAAGCAAACCCACATTCATTCATCCTCTTCTGAACATTATGAAGTGATTTCTACCACTCATGTTTTATGTTCACAAATGAAGAGACTTCATCAGCCCTTTCTTTTTGTTATCAGGGTGACTTTGGAAACCAAAACAAAATGTGTCATATTTCTGAGTTAATTATTTGTAGCT